GGGGGGGGGGGGGGGGGGGCGCAAGAAAAGACTTGGCCAACGCTGCGCAGATGCTGCAATCGCATCACCGGACTGATCCCGGAAACATTCTGCGCCAAGCTTCGCGATGTCCACCTGGCGGAAGCACTGTCTCGATGTGATGCTTGGGGCGGCACACAGGCACAAAAGCTAAGTTGCAACAGCAGCGAACGAAGCTCGCACCTGGCGATCATGAGAGCACGCAATGCAGATCTCAGAGCGTGGCAGCATAAGCATGTAGCTGCAGCTCAGTCTCCGGAAGCCCGTTATATGGGTAGTTCTCTAAATNNGGTTTAGGGTTTAGTGTTTAGGCCTTTTTGGGTACCATAAGGGGGGGGACTTCTCTAAAATTAGGGTCCCTGGGGATCTAGAAGGGGACCCTAATTTAGAGGACTACCCATATGACGAAAAGATATACCTGACCCGTCTCTTCCCTGCCACTATGCAATATGAAAGAAAACATGTCCTTCCAAACCCCCGAACCAGAAAAACCCACCAACACATCTCGGGATGATCAGGAACTGCGGGAAAATCTCCTGAGACTCACTTGGGTGGTTCTGTACATTAGGGTCCCTGTCGGGAGTCCCTTACTCACTTGGGTAGTTCTCTAAATTAGGGTCCCTTTTGGGAGTCCCTTTTCGACGGGTGCACGACACCAAAAGCGTGACGTCGCCCACCGCTTCCTGGTCTGCCTGCTCCTCCCTCGTGGCCTCGAAGAGGGCTTCCGGGGCTTTTGGGTCTTCGCTTAGGGCTTTTAGGGTTTAGGGTTTAGGGGTTTAGGGGTTTAGGACTTTTAGGGTTTAGGGTTTAGGGTCTTGGGAATTTGAGGCTTTGGAGATTTGGGCTTCAAGGCATTAGCGTTTACAGCTTTATTGCTGGGGGGCTTCAGAAGGTCGCGTCTTGGTCCTTGGCTTCGGGTCTCTTGGGTTTTTGGGGTTAAGTCGTGTCTTCAGCTTCGGTCTGAAACTCTAAACTCCACGCCACAGACGCCAACAAAAAATATAAAACGCCAGAACCGAAATCCCAAACATCTACGGCACTGAACCCCCTGACCTAAGAATACCTAGGCCCCCCCCCCAAAAAAAAAAAAAACACCCACGTCTCCTCCCCGAACCCTGAGCCCGACACCCGAAGCTCCAAACACCAAAACCCTAAACCCTAGGCCCCAAACCCTAAAATCCCTGAAACCCTAAACCCTTAAACTCTTAAACACTAAACCCTAAACACCCTAGACTCGACCCTGAAACCCTGAAGCCCTCAAACCCTCAAACCCTGAAACCCTGAAACCCACAAACCCTCAACCCCTAAACCCTGAAACCCTGAAACCCTTAAACCCTCAAAGCCTAAACGCTTAAAGCCCGAAGCCCCAGGCCCCCGGCATCGACGATGGAAGAGGACCGCTCGGCCCAGACCCGCGCTGACCTCTGAGGAGGAAGCCGTCCTACAACGGCTTAGGGTTTAGGATTTAGGGTTTAGGGTTTAGGGCTTAGGGCTTAGGGTTTAGGGTTTAGGAGTTAGGCCTAAGGCTTGGGGCTTTAAGGATTCTAGGGTTTGGGTTTTTGAATTAAGGGTTTGGGATTATATACAAGCTCTTAGAGTGGTTAAGAACAGACTTCTTAAAAGGGCTGTTATAAAGGTTTTATAAGGGTTCTTGAACGGCTGACTTCAAGGGCTCTTAATAGGGTTGCTATCTCGGTTCTTACAAGGCTTCTGCTTTCAAACCACCACTAATCGGGCGTTAGTACAAGTATCTTGCTCTACGGGTTCTTAAAATTGCTTCTGCAAGGACTTAGGGTCTCGGGTTTTCGAGTTTAGGTCCAGGGTCCGCTTAAGCTTCGCATCTTTCAGCGTAGGGTCTTCGGGCCGGGGGTTTGAGGTCTGGGGTACGGGGCTGAGGGTTTAGGGCAGTTTAGGGTTCAGGGTTCAGGGGTTGGTGTTGAGCAAGAGGTTTCGGGCATTGGGGCTCAGCTTTCAGGCCGCTTTCTTCTTCACCAACACCAGGGCAAGCCGATTCCACGGCACAATCCACAGGAAGCTGCAAAAAGCACTGGGGGCGCAGGCTCTGCCAGCGCATAGGCGTGGTCAACCGCATCATTCAGCTTGCCTTCGGGAGAGAAGGCCACATGGTCTACTTGCGCAGCAAACAGCAACACCAACGTAGCCGCAGTAGCAAAGACAAGCCGCAGCAGCGGCGGCAGCAGCAGCAGCAGCGGCGGCAGCAGCAGCAGCAGCAGCAGCAGAATCAGCAGCAGCATCCTTCGCTTCAAGTCGCAGGCATGGTCGCTACAGCGTCAAGCAGCCAAGAATGATGAACACAATCGTGCCAACAGTTCCAACTATGTCAAAGCGAGGTTACATCAATGGCCAAACGTGATGCTAGCACGAGCAATCGTTATCGATCTCATGCAGCACGAAAAATGCAGCCACCAGCACACATGCGTGGTTCATTGAAGTTCTTCGTTTGTGTTTGATACATACATACATACATACATACATATCTATGTGTATATATATATGTATGTGTGTGTGTGTCTGTTTTCGGTCGATGCCACAGAACGAAGAACAAGTCTACCGGCCTTCGGCCAACTCATCCGCCTGCTCCTCCATGTCCTGCGGGAGCGTGGATGGCGCTGGCCAACTTCCGGAAGTCGTCTGTGGGCTTTCTGAAACCACCGTAAAATTTCGAAAAATCTGGGTGGTTCTCTAAAGTAGGGTCCCTTTGGGGGTCCTTTTTATAAGGTTGCCGTACCATATTGGGGACGTAAACAGGGACCCCAATTTAGAGAACTACCCATCTGCAACCCTGACAAAAGCGGAAAATCCAAACCGTACAGATCCCTGCATCCGGCACCCTCAATTTCATGGTTTAGGATGTGTGGTGTGAGGATGGCTCCCGAAAAGCAACAGTCTCTGGCACAGCCGTTTCGCCCGGATTGCCTAATGATCTAGTGAATGATCCCACAATGACAGACACCCTGAACCCCCACAACCCTGAAACTGGACATGCGCAAAAACAGAGGCCCCACCGCATACCTGTCTGTGGCGATACACTGCTGCAAGGGTATCCAGTTTCTTATAATATTCAACCTTACACTAAATCCTGCAACTGGTACACCGACAAGGACCCCCAAACGGCACCAGGACCAATAAGCAGGCACACATACAATTCCACAAACCCGGCTCTGTCCCCTGAAGAAAAACTCATTCTCAGCTCAACAACCCTATGCCCAGAAAAATCTCACGTCATCCCTAAGCCCCAAACCGGGCTGCCCGGCGGCCAGTTCTTTTTCACGGTTAACCTCCGTGTGCAGCGCGGCCTGACGCAGGGCCGGAGGCATTGCCAATGATTCTCGGTTTCTTCAGCTGAGCTGCAGCTGATAAAGTACTGGGGTTACTGGAGGGGAGTATGGCGGCAGTGGTTGTGAGCAAGAGGAGGGCCAAGCGGAGGTCCCAAATCGACACTCCTCACTACAAAGCCGTAGACCAAGTGCCATACGCCCCACATGCCTCACCCGAGGCCCTGGGATGCTAGGATCTGCGAAGCACTCTGCGCACAGAACATAGCCATAGCGCGAGTCGAGCACACGACGAAAGTGACGAAAGCACAGCGTGATCACTTTAGAACGGCAAGAAACACTTGAATAGCCTCTGAAACCACAGCTTCCCCCACCCCCTCCACTCTTACTTTGCGCAATGGGTGCCGGTAAATGGTCGGCACTTCCAGTGAACACCCCCGAATGGCACCTGCTCATTCATCATCTGGTCCTGCAGAGCGCCGTAAAGAAAAGCGCACATGCAGCTCATGCAATGGATGCATGGCACTAGTACTTCTAACAATATCACTTACTCAATGAAAATAGGCATCTAGGGCCGTGAAGACAATGAACATCTCAAGGAGAGCGTGCGACTGAAAAAGAATTGAAAGGACGAGGAGGGCCAGGAGCAGGAGGAGGAGGAGGAATAGGAAGGCCAACACTATCTCTGTGGCCATCAATGCTCAACTAAAATAAGAAACTGCTTCGATCGCATGATGGACTCGGCGCCCTACCTACACTCCGCCTTCTTCAAACAAGCTGAGGTTATGCCGAAGCCATCGATATTGTGATGCCTTAATTTTGTGATCCACGGCTGCGCCTGCTGCGTCCAGCCGTGCTGCGACTGCTGGTCCTGCTGGTCGTTGGAGAAACCTGTCGACAAAAGAAATGCAGTGCGACTGGACGAGCAATGCGATGAAGCTTTGTGGAATTGGCAGTTCGTCTACGAAAGGCTGGGGAACAGAGGTGAAACAGCCTTAGGATCCGTGTCCGTGCGGGCCATGGCTGCCAACTTCTCGAAAAGCCTTCGAAGCGACGTTTCGCGACCTCTGTCAGTCCACATCTTCGATACCAGCAGTCACGGACCCAAACGATCCCCCCATGCGTCACTACGGCTCCCACGCGGTGCAGATGCTTTACGTGTTTTGCAGTCTCGTGAGCAGCGTGTAGGATGATCGGAGGCTCCAGCTGGCCAACCGGCCCTTCAGGGCCGCCGACCGCCAGGGATGAACGTCTTAAACTCTGAAACTCTGGAAAGCTTGAAATCTGAGTAGATCGGTGCCCTGAGCCCTCACTCAGGTTTTCTTCTCGGGAGCTCTTCGCAGACCTCGGCTCAGAGTTCTCCACAAACAAATTAACACAAAGACACACCAAAAACAGCCGAGGCACGCGCGTCGTCTCATGGAAAGGGTGGCAGCCCGCACTCCTGCGCCACTTTCCGAGCCTGCAGCGGATCACTCCCACGGCGCTCTCTTCCTCTGCTTTCGAGGGCCCCCGGCCTCGGCCACGGAGACCTCGCGCTCCTTTTTGCCGTCCATCAGGAGCCAGGCCTGCCTGCGGTCCGCGCTGAGCCGCACCGCGCGGCCCTTGTCCTTGCCGTTAGAAGCCGACCTCCACGTTGCCGCTCTTATACGTGTAGGTTCCCTTCCCGTGCTGCTGGCCGTTCTGGAACTCCCCGACGAAGACCTCGCCGTTCCCAAACCTTAGAGTCCCCCGACCGTGCTCCCGGCCATCCTTCCACTCCCCCTCGTAGACTTGGCCCTCTGGCCACCTTCACCGAGCTCGGCCCTGGAGCTTGCCCTTGTCGTCGACGCGCAGCTCCCGGTAGTCCTCAGTGGGCTCGAACCACTCCGAAACCATCTCCACCTCGTCCTTGATTGCCTCCTCAAATGCTTTTGGGCCCTCTCCACTGCCAGAGCCAGTCTTTCCTTCGCCTGGGCTGGGGTGCCGCCTCCACGCCATTTGGTGGTCGGAAAGGCAAACATGCCCATGCGCGGGATGCGCCAGTTTGTCCCCATTTCCTCCTCCGCGATCTGCATGTCGGACTTCTCCCGGGCCATGCCCTGCTGGATCTGGAGCACGAAGCCCCTCTTCTCGCGCTGGATCCTGCTTAAGTTTTCGCAAAAAGTGCGGAGCCACCTGTCATCGGCCTCGTCCCCGTAGCGCTCCTTGCGGGTGAGGGTGAGAGGGGAAGAGAGAGAGAGAGGCCTACAACAGAGCCCACTGAACCCGTTTCAACCCAGCATGCTCAAACACGGGAAGGGCCTGGCAGCAAGGGAGTCTCTAAACTCTTTGAGCCTTTCCTTTCTGCCAGGGGCACCCCGAGCGCGCCTTGTTGTCAGTGCTCGGGTTGTACACAGTACAGCCCAGCTCTTCGAGAACTTCTTTGATGCCTATGGAAACCGTGTACCACGGTTCTTCGAACTTTGTGGAGAGGACGACGTGCGGGGCGTTCGGGCCTCTCTCGGGCAGTCTCTTCCTTGCGGGCCAAGTGGTTGGCCGACTCCACTTCGCTACATTGTCGTAGCTTGCCCTGGCGGCACCGGCCATGAGCTCGATCAGGACACACGGGGGCGGGGAGCTGGCAGCAGGGGTGGTCTTTCGAGCCTCGCCCACGAAAAGTGTCCACACCCCCTGCACTGAACAAGCAAAGCACCAGAAATCCTCGGCGACAGCCCTTCGTTCTTGCACTTCAGACGACATGGGCTGCGGCCATGCTGACTCTCTCGGCGGCTTAGACCGGGAAGCAAAGCCCCCAAAGCCCCAATCCCTGTCTGCGAGGCACCCTAATCCCTAAAACCCTAAAATGATCGTGGCATGATGGCCAAGGGCGTGACAGTGCTGACAGTGATTGAAAGTCGATCATGCACCATGTTATTAAAAGCCAGTTAGCCAGACATCTCCAAGCCCAACATCTATAGGCAATGTATAGAGTATAGAGGCCGGAATATTAAGTAGAACCTATCAATCCCCTTCTAGCCCCTATTACAGTAATACGGTGGACAGAGGCATCTTGGAGTCGTAGCATCGCAACCTACTCCCTGAAGAGTCCGAGTCTACTCAGAGTGACTCAGAGGCTACTGTAGGACAGGAGCCGCAATCACTAGAATGGGCTTGAGGGTTTAAGCTTCAGGGCTTAGGGTAGGGTTTGGGGGGGGGCATTATACCCGGTAGTCAACATGGGGACTGGAGAAAACACTGAGACACATCCGGCCCACCTTGATTCAAAGATGTCGGTAATCGAAGGCCTGCTGCCGATCCAGCGACTTCTCAAAGGGATCTCGGTCTTGGAATTCCTAAACCCTAAACTGTAAATCCCAACCCATTGAACTAAAGGCCTAGGCCGAAGAAAGCTGTGCAAAATCCAAACGCCAAGCTAAGAGAAAAGAGATGTGGAACCTACCAATCCGCTGGAATACCCCAAGCCTGAAAGCCCCAAAGCGATGCGTTTGGGAAGGGCACTCAGGAGAGGATGGCATTCGTCTAAGTTGGCGAAATTAGCCACTGGGCAGGCAAGTCATGTCCAGTCAGCCTACCATGCCGAATTTTTTGGGAGCACTCATGAAGATGGTTGAAACTCGTCAATGGTAATCATGCAGGAAAACCCCATAAGACTTCGTATGGGACTATGCTCCATGGCACTATATTCGTACTAGCCTGATACAATATCAAATCATGTCAGAGAGTATAACTACAATGATGCTTCTGTTGATCCATTGGTCAAGTTATCCTCCGTCTTCTAGGTCGTGCCTTTGCTCTGGACACAGGGTTCAGCGGTCGATTCAGCAGTACACTGCACAAGAGCTACTGTTGATGATATAAATCTGCATTACCTTACGGACCCTGAACTATGGGAATTATGGTACACTCCTTATTGTGGGTATATTCCTTATTATGGGTAATGCAGGTTTTTATGTCATCAACCGTATGATCCTCCACAGGCGAGGCAAAGGGAACCAATCCCGGGGCCCTAAACTCCAAAGCCCCAAACCTTGGGGCGTCCTTACTTGCCAAGCTCCGGGGAGGCAAAGGTTATCCTTAGAGAGCCTTCCTGACGCGGGGTTGTAGGTTTCCGGATTTCCCGGGGGTGAGATTGCCAGAAGATCTGTAGATGTTTCGAGACTCCCTCCTCAGAGCTCTGTCCCGGCCCAAGCGATTTCTGCAAACTTATCACGGCTCAACGCTCAGCAGTGCTGATCCCCTTACGGCCCCCACGACTACTTATACAGTACATGTTGTACCGCAAAATCACCATCAACCCCTCCAAAACCCTATAAAAATCCTGAACCTTGAGCCCGAAATTCTGGCATCCTCACAGCTGCTCATCATTAAAATTGCAAGAAACCCCCTAGACTCTAAAGCCAAAAACCCCAAACTACCTGCTCTCACTCCAAAAAAAGCATCCAGTCGCAGGAACATGACTGGAGAAAGACACTCAGAAGCAAATCTGTGTTGCCTCCTCGGCTCGCAGTACTCGTAGATAGCAACCTGCGACCAAATGCCATGAGATGCATCACATACACATACATGAAAAAGAACTATGTATATACACGCCATCATATGCATTACAAAACCACCCCGGGCAGAGGGCATGCCGTCAGAGGTTCGCATCTTAAGCCTGGCGCCGGAGCCTTAACCGAAGCCTGGTGCGACGTTGGTGTGTGTGTGTGTACATGTACACACAAACACATGTGTATGTATGTGTGTATATGTACTATCTGTATATACATATATATATATATATTTATACATGTATAGTCTGTATATATACTCATATACTCATATACATATACATAGACATACAGTTTGACATACACATACACATATACATATATGTATCATACCGTACCGTACATGCCAATACCCATATTCGACTATGTATTATATGTACTATATGTGTTATATGAGTTATATGCACTTCTTTGTATTATGTGTATTACATGTGTTATATGTATGTAGGTGTGTGTGCGTGTGCATGTATGAATGTACGTATGCATGTTTGCATGTATGTGTACATTCATGTATGCATTCTTGTATGCATGTATGCATGTATGCATGTATGTATGCATGCATTCATGTATGCATGTATGCATGTATGCATGTATGCATGTATGTATGCGTTCATTCATGTATGTATGCAAGTATGCATGTATGTGTGTATGCATGCATGTATGAATGTCTGTCTGTCTGTCTGTCTGTCTGTATGTATGTATGTATGTATGTATGTATGTATGTATGTATGTATGCAAATACACCTTTGTTTGATATACTTACATGCACGAAATATACTCAACAATAGCATTCAGTGTGTATGTATATATATATAGACATATGTACGCACACACACACACATGTACAGATAATTCTGACATTCTTCCACGCGAAATTCGCTTCGCATCTGGGATACCATCTGGAAGCTTGCGACTTAAACCATGGTCAAAATCCTTATTCCTCCCTGAAGCCCACGAGCATGAAGGCCCAAGAGAGCCTTTTACATTAATACACGCGACGTGAAGCCCAAGGGCCTTAAACGCGAAAGAAACAACTAGAAGACCTCTTCTGGCTTCTGGGTTTGGGGTTTAGTGGGTTAGGGGTTTAGGGGCTTAGGGGCTTAGGGGTTTAGGGGTTTAGGGGTTTAGGGTTTTGGGTTAAGGTGATTAAGGGATTAGGGGGTAACGAAACAACCCGCTGCAGCAGGGCCGCTCCGACAGCGCCCCGGCCACCAAACCATGACCCGGCATGGCCTAGGGTCGGCGTAGGGTTTTGGGTTTTGATTTAGGGTTTCGGGTTTGGTATGTATGGTTTGGGGTGTGGGGTTTGGGGTTTGGGGTTTAGGGTTTAGGGTTTAGGGTTTTAAGGGTTTAAGGGTTTAGAGTTTGAGGGTTTAGGGTTTTAATTGGGCTTCGAGTGAGGGTTTTGGGTGTAGGGTTTTGGGTTTTGGAAAGCTTAGGCTTTTTTGGTTTACGGCTTAGGGTTTAGGGTGTGAGGCAAGGGCCTTGCACACAAAGCCCCTGCAGTAGGATGACAGCACAAAGCAAGCCACGTGGCATTGCTTATCGAGAAGTGTACTGTGGCACATGGCTCACGGGTTCAAAAGTGTTTTGTTTGAGTTGTCTCCCCACCTCTTTGGGGTCACCCTAGTCCTTACTTCAGGAAGGTTGTGTGGTTGTAGGGCTTGGGTTTGACTTCCGGATGGGTGTGAGGGTGTTTTCGGCGCGACAGAGACTGACAAAGACCCATCTATAGATATAGGAACTCAACGAACAAACTACCAACAAGATTCAACAGAAACCTGCTAACACCCCTAAACCCTTATGTAAATCCCTAAACCCTAAACCCTTAAAACCCTAAACCCTAAACCACCCTTGAACCAAGAGCCCTTCATCTGAAGACGTCAGAGCCAGCGGCCGGCGTGTGGGCAGCCGGGTCGGATGGCCACCAGGGCTACATAGGGCTCGAAGAGGGGCTTAGAGGGCTTTTAGGGCTTTAAGGGTTTTAGATTAAGGGTTTAAGGGTTTAGGGTTTTACGGGTTTTAAGGGCGTAGAGGGCTTTATGGATTTTAAGGGTTTAGGGCTTCAAGGGTTTAGGGCTTCGGGTTTTGAGGCGTCCGAGTCATTTAGGGCTGTCGGCGCTACCGTCTTGGGGATGAGGCTTTTTTCGGGTGCAGGGCTTCTTGGAGCTTAGGGTCTCAGCAGGTAGATCCTAACATAGGTTTGATCCGTAACGCAGCTTCTTCAGCGAGAGCCTACTCCCACCGGGACCTCTAAAGCACGCCTTTAAGGCCTCAGGCTGACCTAAGCCTAAACTGATTGGAGGGTCATGTCAGCTTGAAAAGGATGGCATCACAGAGCGGCGGCTGCTCGACGATCAGCTCTTTGCCCATACGGTAACAACAGGTTGGGGCTTGGGGTTTCTATGGTTTCACAGTTTGGGGTGTAGGGTCCAGGGTTTCATGAATTCAGGGCCCAGGGTCATAGCTGTTGCTCTCAGGGCCACAGGAAGCCAGACGCCCTAAGGTTGGACTCATCCAGATGCGACGCACAAACACAAGATTGAAACAAGTCCCGTCGCAAGAAGCGCCCCGACCGGGCAACGACATGGAGATCGTCCGAAACCAACGCTCATTTCTATTACGAGTCTTTCTAATTTTTCTATATCTACTACCCACTACTACTGTGAGTGACGTTACCAACAAATTGACCATGATACACACGAATACACACACGTACATGCATAAATCATATCTTCACATATGATTGCTTCTTGGACATTTTGGTGGGGTCTTGGTTGCAGCACACCTTGTCCCGTTTGTCATGTGCCCCCTTGAACGACTCTCGACGCTTGACTACAGAGGCCTGCAGGCACCCTCTGATACTAACTAAGCCGCCCCGATTTCGCAGAGTAACTGGCTGTGCCGAAAGATATTGATCACGTGTTCCATGCCATGACGCAAACACGCTCGGTTGAAGATGTAGACTCATACAACAACATGTACAGCGGCATCATCATACAATACATGACATAGACATACTGCACTGCAGCAACACGG